ATCTGATGCTCTTCGGCTCCCAGAGACCAGCGTCAGACTGACTTCTGGGAGCCTCACCGAGATAGGCGTTCCCGACACCATCTCGCCCTCAGTGGACGACCCATCCACTCCACTGTTTCGCTTCTCCTTCCTTCCCTTCGTTTTCTTCGTTTCCGTTAGACTTGCCTTCTGTTGTTGGTTATTTCCGATCGTTTTTTGTTTTAGGTTTTGAATTTTATCCATATTAAATCCCACGAGTGGGGGAGAACTAAAGGTCCACCCGGGCAGAGATCCCCCATTACCCGGGCAAGCGTAAGTTTTTAACCCAACCGAGGGGTCCGCAGGTACCTCGGCTTGGAGTGCGCTCGAGACTGAACTTCCCATCAGCCATGCATCCCCTGGCCACGCACCAGAACACGGGATTCGGGGAATTTTTTAGAGAGGTTATCTTCCTCGCGGTCCGGGCGGTTAAGCCAAGACCTTCGCCCCCGATCAGAGCCGCGAGACTTAACCACAGCGCTCTTCTCGGGATTACGATATGCCGACGGTTGACAGGGAGACTACGTCCCCCTGCCTGCTCGGTGGTAGTGTCAGTACACGCCGAGCCCGTCCTCCTTTCTCCACCGCTGTCAGCGGAGAAACTGTGGCCCCTACAGGGCCCCGCCATCCGGTTTTTTACCGAGGTTTCCTCCTCCATGCTCCGAAGAGCGAAGAGCCAGCAGATCAACCGGCAGACACGCCCACCCTGCTGGACCAGGCCTTGCCCGAGAGCCGATGAACGGCTACCTCTTCTGCTAGAATATTAGCCGCTGGCGATAATCCTCTCCTCCAAGAGGACAAGGAGGAAACAGTACCATCGCCAGCGTTTCCAGGGTGCACCACGGGGAGGTTTTCTAGCCTAGCACCCCAACTAACAAACCCTATACCAACCCGTCTGGCCGTCTTACTTAACAACAGGACAACAACGTAACAGAAGTACAAACTTGAAAATTAAAAAAAAAAAATTATAACAGGAAAAAAAATGTTTTTTTTCGATTATAAAAGATCAGACATAAAAGTATATCTATGTTGTACGTATATATAATACACAATAAAAATACCTTGAAAATGAGGAAATGTTGAATGAAAATGAGCTAACCGCTGATTCAAAAAATAAATTTTATATGATGATAAACACTTAAACCAAAAATTTTGTTTCATCTAAGTATCCCTCTCGTTTCTTTAACAGATTTAGAAGAAAAAGTATAACAGCTAAGTTAGCTCCATTAGTGAAAAAGTAATATTCGCCAAACTTACAAACTCTAGGGACTGTTTTTGGAAAACTTCATACAAAATATAACAAAACCACTTCCATGAAGTTATTATTTATTTAAAACGCATCGTAATAAAGAGGCAAGCACTTGACCAGTTTTGTCATGTAAATAAAGAAATAAATATTGCTTATATTTACAATAGGATGTTTCTGTCATTCCCAAGTATTTTTTAGTTTACAAAAAGTAGACAGAATTTCAGTTGAACGTTGAGCTTTTGTTGACGGATATTAAAGCAACAAAAAACTTAATTACCCTTTGTGTTTATGTTATCAGTGTATCATGTTGAATACATTAAAATAGATAACTATTTTAATGTATTCAACATGATACACTGTCATGTATCATGTTGAATACTCGTATAAGTGTAATATTATAATTTCAAGAAAATAATTTGTAATAATATTAAAATTATTAAACATTTTGCCAAAAAAAGTATAATCCTTTTATTTATTCATAATAGAAAGATTTAAAACAAAGTTAAACAGGTTTTAAAAACAAAGAGAATTACAACTAAAAAATAATAATTGATCATAAACTTGATTGAAAAGACTAACAGTGTAAGGACTAATCTGATTCGACCCGAAACATAGTTATTAATACATAGGGATATAAAATAACCAATTAAAAACTGAAAAGAACTCTAATAATATATATTTGAATATTTTGTTAATTATGTTATTAAATTCCAAGGGATAAAGTTACATTCATTTAAATTAGTCAAGTCACCATTGTGTCAATGCTCAACACTCGCCTCTAACTGTGAACAGTCTGCTCATCCTATTCTCTTTGTGAACAGTCTTTGGTATAAAGAACGTAATATAATGCTGAATAGCTTACAGACGACATCTGATACCGTATACTATTGGGATCTTGTGTCAACTAGGGTGAATTTCCGTGCTTTTAGGCGAATCTGCCATACATATTATAGAAATCAAATATAGCTCAGTCAGGACCCAAAATATTTTATGGCCCTGGTGTTTCCCTGTTTAAAAAGGTGTATGCCTATTTTAATTCATTTTGTCTCCAGCTTTGCTACTGAGGGAAGAGGATTTATTATATTTCCAATTCATCCCATTTTCTTCTGATTTATTTCGTTGCGGGTTCCAAGACAGTTAATTTTTTCCTGAGACTTCCCGAGTATCCTAACTCGGTGTGTTTGTGGGTCACTACTGTTGATCATGGTGAACAGGAGTTACAGTGGTGAGCGTGTGGGAGGGACTAGTCTCACATAAAAGAAAAAGATAAAGTTACTTGTAAGTTGTCGTCGTCGTAATAAAACATTAAAAATTATAGTCATTTAATGTAGTAGTAGAAGTGTTTGGTTTGCCCTCGCAGGCGCCGCGTTATACTTTACCTATCAAATACCTATTTAGCTTGGCATAGAAGTTTCATTGCCAGAAAATAGAATTGTACTTCGAAGGCAAAAATCCAACTTGTTCAATTTTAAATATCCTTTCATTTTCTTTCCTATGGATACTAGTAAAGATTTAAATATTAAGTTAAAAATTACAATGGTTAGAGTTAGTGCGGGATGGGGGGTGTGGACTGTAGTCCCAGTCTGGCGCAGTGACTGCGCGCGTTTATTGATTCGACTTTGCTGACGTGATACGTCGCCGCTATATCTCAACCTCTGCAAATGCAAAGAATACGCAGTTTCTAATTTTGGGACTCTATGTATTTAACTCTTCCTACCTACCTTAATATTTGGAAGGAAGGGACGTGGAAAAGCAACGGCTTTGTGTGATATTGTAGGCACCATCTTGGGTCACCATCAAGCTAAGGATCGTGGAGAAGGAACTATACTCGCCCTCCTAGATTCCGCCCGCGCTTTTCAACAGTTCTGGTGGGCACTGAAAATCAGTACTGGGAAGGACTATTTTGTGGAACACAGCGCACAACGCTCATCTACACAAGCTATCCATGTGGTTGAGATTGAGAGGCCTACTTGGTTACGTACAATAGGTAGTTTATCTCCTCTTTGTTACCTAACCTAAAATAATAGGGATAGTGTAGTGTTGCACATACTACAGGTCAATAGTTATAAGCCTCAAAATGTAATATCATTTAAAATGTTTTTTTTTCCTTTCAACATTAGTTGTATGCTGTGTCTTTTACAGAATAAAGTATTGTATAAATTTATTATTAATTGGTTATGTATACTTTTATTCACTGCAAATTAAAATTAATTAATTACAACGCCATTAGCTTTGATTATCTCAGTCATTTTATGCACTTAAAGTAAATATATTTTAATGGCGCCTAACATGTTATGAGCTGCTTTGAAATTCAAATATCTAATTACTTCAAACTGTGTAAACATTTCCTAGTCGCTATGGAACTACCTAAGGGCTCCTGCAACATGCCAGCGATGACGCACGATTTACGTCGCGCCAAATTCAGTTGTGAATCAAGATTAGTTCTTGACAGTGAAAATATTTCCAAAATCGGATCATTATTACTGGGGATTACAGCGAACATACAAACTCACAAAGTTACATAAGTTTCATAAATAATTTCATCATTTTTAACAAAAAAAGGGAGAATTAAAAAAAAAAGATGAATTTTCCGGCAGAAAATTACAATGATTTTCGACTCAGAATAATGGTCTGAATACACTATTTCAGTATTCGTTACGACGTCCTCTACACTCTGTATATAAATATTCTGTATTTTTTTAAGTAAGCTTTTGGGGTCTATCTAGCCAAAAAAAATGAGCCCAATCTCGATGGATTTATCTTGTTTAGTCAAGAAGTTCCTATGGTCGTCTTCCGGCTTCATCATCAGAAAAACTCCATAGTACCGTATTATTGTGTTGTCACTGAAGAAATATATGTACACCATATTTAAATTTAATCGAACGTCTTAAAGTGGTTTCAATTTAACTGCCAATATTCGTGCCGAACATAGATACCTACATACAAACATTGCTAGTTAAATAAAAACTTGTAAAAACCTCTTAGCTTAAAAGAACCTACAAAACATAAAGTCCCCAAAGATGTATTCATAATTTAAGAGTGGACTAAGCCAACTTAACAGACCGACAAGTTTTGAGAAAAGGCTTTAAGACTTAAAACCCTACGCACAACTGCCTCTTTTAACTTTCCTAGTAGCTTGAGTTAACGTCGTTTTCATAAATCCTTCGCCTATGGGTATGAATTTAGACATGGGTATGTTTGGGTATACAACAAGAGTAGTTTGAGATATTCAACAAGCTCAATAATTTAGGCAGAAATTAATTGCTTTTTTTAATGGAAGGGCAGACGGACTACCTGATAGAAAGTGAATACCGCCGCCCATGAACGCCTGCTTTATTTTAATTATGATTTCCTTTAACAGAATCAATTATTGTTATTAAGACAAACAAGACAAATATTGTGTGATGAGCACGGTAATTTGTTCTGTGTCTTGGTGTCATTTATCTATAATATGTATGTATTTAAGAATATATAATCTCCTGGGGTTCAAAGTGATAATACTAGGACAAAATCAGTTTGCAGTGAAAGCCCAAGTATTTAAACAGGGACTTGGAGTAATGACCCACTGTGATACTACTAGAACAAAATATTTACTAACACCTGGTATTTTATATTACGCGCCATGTCATTTCTATGTTGTCAGTTAGTCTGTATATATATTTGGCATTGTGTCAGCACTGCTTAAAGTGAGCAGGGAGGGGTATTCGGTCTTCTGCCACGAGAAGTCGCAGCAATGACACCTGAAACGAAAAGAGGTTAGTTTAAATTTTTAATTTCTTTAAAATCTTTATTTGAAACTTACTGTATTTTGTATTGTTTTTGAGAAAATATTAACTAATGTGTAAATACTGTTATATAGACCGTAAAGTCGTCATTTACGACATGTATTTTTGACGATAATTTATTTGTCTAGCACAAATGTCTACTAGTATGCTGGGCGGGTATACTATAAGTTGCTTTTTTTAATGGTTTGGCATCCTTCTTATTCGAATGAGTTTTTATATTCGTGTGATAGAAAACAAATAATGGGATATCTATTTTTGTACAGTATAATTTGTCATAGTTTTAGACCATTGGACTCATATTCTTTTTTTTTACATCGTTGAAAGATAGTCAAATGCTTGAACTTCAAACAGTCCGATTTCGAAGACGATGAGAACGATCCCTTCGAAGAAGATGATATAGAAGATAAGTATCTTCCAGCTGGCGAAATTGACAGTGACAGCAGTACCAGCTCAGAATCAAAACCTGCGAACCCAACTCCAGTCTCGCGACGTGGTCGAGGACGAGGTCGATCATATTCCAGAAGAGGTCATGGACGCACTCCTCGATCTTCAAGTGCTCCCGGTAGGAGCAGTTGAGGTATTCAGTCTTCTATCCATCCTCATTCTGAAGTACACTCTAATCCGTTTACCTGGACCGCAAGAAATTTCCCGAGAAATCTTCCTATGCTATGTCATACTTGAAACCAGACAGATCCAATTTTTCAAATGTTGAATTTTTCACCCAGTACTTTGATAATGAACTCATTGACATGATTGTTGCCAAAACAAATGAAACAGCTGTTAGTAAAACGGGAAAGAGTTTGCTGCTGACCAATAACGAATTGTAAGTTTTTATTGGTTTGTCTATAATTATGGCATGTATTGAAGTCGGTCTGTATGTGACTTCGTTGACACAGATTTTGGCCAGGGGGAAAACCAGTTTTTAAGCTGACAGAGGCACTCGTTCTCGGTCATCTGGTTTATTTTGATCGGTATTTTACTACTCAAAAACTTGTAGATGAGTTGAAAAAAAGAGGCATAGAAAGTACAGGTACTTTAATGAAAAATCGGATACCCGCGCCAGCATGAAGTGAAATTGAAACAGATAGCAGCTTAAAAAAGAACGTGGCAGCAGTCAAGTCCTGGTCAGAAGTGAAGACAATATGACAATAACTACTTAAATGTATGTCAACAAGCCTGTTTTGTTTTTGTCATCACAATTTTGAAATGAGGAGTCCGATGTGTGTAGGCGATACGTGTTCGTTTTAGTCTAAATAGTAGTGCTATTTAGACTAAAACGAACACTTACTAATTTCACAGACGTAAACAGCGCCATTTCGAAAGTGGTTTATTGTTTTGACGTCAACAATTAATTAACAACTTTTAAATGTACGTTTCACTATGGCAAACGGCAAGCCAGTCTGCAAAAACCTACAAAAATCTTAAAACAAAACATCCGGGTATAGTAAATCTCACCAAAAATATTTTCATGTTAAATGTTGCCAAGACGAGACCATTATGGCTAGCACTGTCAAAAACTTATCAGATTTCATGCAGAGCCAAACTTAACTCCAACTTAAAGCCAAACAACTTAACTCTAGACGCCCTCACTTCACAATCTCTACACTTTAGTCAAAATATGTGGCTTGACCGTTTCGTTACTACAAAAAATATTGCATAACAGAAAAGTTATGAACTGTAAATAAATTTTACACCCATGTGACGGTAGCGAATAGTGGTAGACGCTAGCGTACGGCGTCGTCCTAATTGGCCACGATCGTACGATGACACGATGCGTTCTCGTCGTGCGATGAGTTCAATCATACAGATTTCATCAGAGTGTCCTATTTGAACCTCGCAAGTAATCGTGCGAGCACGTAAAATGCTTAATAACGATCGTACGATGCGTTTGATCGTGCGATCCTGTAACCAAAGCAAAAGATCTCTACGTATTCCGTTGCAAATGTAGTCAAATGTTTCTTTTGACATGGACAAATAATCGTAAAAGTCTTCTTCGTTATTTCGTACATCAAAATAATGGTTGAAAAATTCACCGCGCATATTCCTAGATCTATAAAGTATATTATGTGGTCTACGTTTCCTTTTTTCAATGTCATTTGCAATTTTCAAATCTATATTGCCCGACAGTAAAAACTGTGCATCTCTGTAAAGAGCCATCGTTAAAGTGGCGTTCTGAGCGCGACGATATCGCACGATGTGACATCGTGCGATCTATTAGGACACCTGTTGGATCATCGCATGATCACTTTGATCGGAGACGAAAAAACGCATCGCGCCATCGTACGATTGTGGCCAATTAGGACGACACCGTAGGCCTAATGTTTATCTGAGCAATCGTTACTACAAGAGCAAGAAATAGTAAATACATTATTTACTATACGCCCATGTGACGGTAGCCCAGGTAGCGGTTTTGATTCTCTTAAGTGTTTAATTGTTTTGATTATTTTTTGCGACTTGAACTTTGACTTGAAGTTTGATTATTTTATAGTTTTAATGGACTATAGACCTGAGTATATGGTTTAAATTTCAACTCGATACCTCCACGCATTCTCGAGATAAAGAGTTCACAGACAGACAGACAATATAGTGATCCTATAAGGGTAATTTTTTTTTCCTTTTGAGGTACGGAACCCTAAAAAGTCCTTGATTTGAAAATGCCTGAGCCTAAATACTACTAAAGGTTCATATTATGCAAATGGATAACTCAAGCGAAAAATAGTCTTAACAAAACAACCAATCTGTTTAAGAATATCTTACGCTATGGGATAGATGAGACAGAAATCCTCACTGCCTTTCGTGTCAGTTCATTTTATTATTACTTTATCGAGGTCATTAATATGTATAATATCTTTGTAGAACACAAAGCTTTTTTGTAGTAACAGGTTCGGGGGTGTCCCGGCCAAGGCGCAAGCCGCCTCGGTGGACACCGTGCGGTATCCGCGTATGGCTCTGCCCGCCAATATCCTCCAGGGGCGTCAGAGGCGCGCCCTATTCGGGGCGGTCAGAGCCGCCACCCACACCGGTGCACCTTACAGCGCCATGGACCGGACAACCCCCGCGTACAGCCGCCTCGTGGGAACACTGGCCCCGCCCAAATTGGGCAAAAGTCGCCTTAGGGCGGAGGCAGTGTCCACCAGCTTCGGACCAAGCTGTCGGAAGTGCTCGTCGAAGAGCCACCTACCGTCTAGGACCAGACCCAGGTACCTCATCTGGGCCCGGACCGGTACGAGGACCGAGCCGACCTCGATTGAGGCGCCGGCGGGTGAACCGCGACGGGGCCCCTGAAATAATAGGGCCTCCGTCTTATCCAGGGCCACCCGTAATCCTAATGCCTCAATACGCCCGATCACCTGGGAAACTCCCGTGGCGGCCAGGCGCGCCGCCTCCTGGAAGTTAGCCCCCCGGGCCGTGAGTAAGGTGTAATCCGCGTAGCAGATTACACCCAGCCCGGGGGGGAGACGCCCAGTCGTACCCGATGTTCCACAGGAGAGATCCTAGGACAGACCCCTGCGGAACACCGCACGACATGGCCCTGCGTCTCAAGACGCCATCTCAGTCCTCGTACATGACGGTTCGCTCCTCAAGATAGTCTGCCACCAGCCGCCTCAGGTACTCCGGCACTCCGTGGTAGCGGAGCGCTTCCCTGATGCAGCTGAATGGCAGACTATTGAAGGCATCGGCGATGTCCAAGGACACCGCCAACACCACTCCGCCGCAGCTCACAGCCTCCTCGGTCACGGCCCTAAGGCGCATTACGGCATCGATCGTCGAACGCCCCTCTCGGAAACCGAATTGGGCGTCCGACAGATCGGGGCCAACCTCGCAAAGGTGCCGGACGATGCGGGCAGAGAGTACCCTCTCAAAAAGTTTACCCGCCTCGTCCAACAACACGATAGGCCTATAGGCCGCGACCGAATCGGTAGGCCGTCCTGGCTTCCTCAGCAGGACCAGCTTCCCGCACTTCCAGCGCTCAGGGACGCCAGGCTAGCTTCCAACACCCCCCTGAGGTGGTCCGACATGTAGTCTAGGGCTCGGGCCATCACTCGGGCTGAAACCCCGTCCGGCCCGGGGGCAGTGTTCTTGGATCGAATCCGTAGAACAGCCGCCCCCAACTCCGATTCCCTTATGGGCGCAACATCAACCTCGCTGCCCCCGTCGTCTCCGGCTGATGCAGCCATCGACGGGGGTGTGTGCTCCGCCCGCTGCGGGAATAGGCCCTCGACTGACATAGGCAGAGGGCTATGTCAAGCGGTGGACTATTAAAGAATGTTGGTTGGTTGAATGTTGTGTAGGCTAAAACCTCCTTTCTAAGGAGAGCCTTAGAAAGGTTTTGGCCTACTATACCACGATGGCCAGACGGGTTGGTATAAGGTTGGTTTCAAGTTTTCCTTCTCTTTGCAGTGCTATTGTCCTGCGTAGTTTGCTCCCTTAGTAACCCTTACGAAACCTACGGGATGAATGGTGACACTCCATTCCTTAATCCGTCACTACACGGATTACAAATTATATAAGAATAGAACTTTGCATTAAATAATGAACTTGTAATATTTTTACAATTTTAATGTGTGATGTCATGCGTTACATTTTTATGTGTGTTGAATGGAGACAATGTTGTTGACCTTATAACAACTTTTCCATATCTTAGCTTAGATTTTATTTATAAAGGAGTTTCTATCTGAAATTCTATGACGATAATAAAATGCAAGTCAGTCAACACGCGCATTCATAAATTAAACTATCCGTATTTAAAAGATTTGAATTTGTAAATATTATAACAGTGTTTGCCGCGACACAGGCCTGATCACTCGCGCTGTCTCTCAGTTGAGTTAAATTAAGTAGTTTTTAACAAACATACCCAGTGTACTCGGCTTGTGTGTACAAATAGTTTACTCTATTAATCTAAAAAGCAGTGATAAAATTGAATTATTTATTGCTCGAAAATTGCAATCGAAAAAATCAAATTAAAAATTAAATAATTGTCTAAATCATGGCAAAAAGGATTGTAGAGCCTTTTCGAATTAAAGTGGTTGAGATCATCAGAATTCCAACGAGAAAAGAACGTGAGGCAGAATTAAAAAAAGCTGGTTACAACCTAATCTCATTACCAAGTAGTGCAGTGTACATTGATTTGCTAACAGATTCCGGTACTAATGCCATGAGTGACCATCAATGGGCTGCTCTAATCAGAGGAGATGAATCTTACGCTGGCTCTAGGAACTATTATGACTTAATAAATAAAGTGAAAGAGTTATTTGATTATAACTTTGTTATACCTACACACCAAGGACGAGGAGCAGAAAACGTTCTGTTTCCAGCTTTATTAAAATACAAACAACAGACGTATAAGGTCGAAAATCCAGTATTTATTTCCAACTTTCATTTTGATACAACAGCTGCTCATGTCGAACTAAACGGTTGCAAGGCGATTAACGTCATCACAAAGAAAGCATTAGATTTTGAAACCTATTATGATTGGAAAGGTAATTTTAATATTGACGCATTAAAAGATAAAATAGCAGAATATGGTACACATAACGTTGTTGCTATTGTATCCACCGTCACTTGTAACAGTTCAGGCGGACAACCAGTGTCTATGAGTAACCTAAAAGAAGTTTACGAGGTAGCCAATAGACACAATATATTTGTTGTAATGGATTCGGCACGTTTCTGTGAGAATGCATACTTTATTAAAAAGCGCGACCCAATGTATAAAAAAACCAGTGTAAAGAAAATTATACTAGAGATGTTTAAATACGCTGATGGCTTGATTATGTCTGCGAAAAAAGATCCGCTTTTGAATAACGGGGGCATGATTTGTATTAAAAATAATGAAAAATTGTTCCAATATGCCATGCAACGCTGTATTCTAATGGAAGGATTTATTACTTATGGAGGTTTAGCTGGACGTGATATGGCTGCAATGGTAAGGGGACTTGAAGAGGGTACTCAAGAGGATTACCTTCGTTACCGAATTGGTCAAGTTGAATATCTGGGAGACAGATTAAGGGAAGGCGGCATCCCGATCCAATATCCTACTGGCGGTCATGCAGTCCTCATTAATTGTTCGAAGTTAGTGCCACATATTCCTGGGCATCAATTCCCTGCTCAGGTTGTAGCTAATGCGCTTTACCTAGAATCAGGTGTGCGAGGTCTTGAAATGGGTTCATTACTGCTTGGTAGAGATCCAAAAACCAACAAGCAGAAACACTGCAGTATGGAACTTTTGCGTTTAGCGATTGCTCGTCGGGTGTATACTAATGATCACATGGATTATATCGCCGACGCGCTAATTAGTCTAAAAGATAAATTCTTAACATTGGCCGGTTTGCATTTTGATTATGAACCCCCAGTGTTAAGATACTTTACGGCAAGATTGAAACCTATTAAAACAATGCAGAAAATTGTGTAAGTATTCCACTAAAATAATAGTAGTAAGTAGTAATAGTAAAACATAAAATGTTCAGCAAACTGATTTTTAAAATTAAGAAATTAAAATCAACTTTAATGCCTCTAAGGGCCCGTTGTTTGATCGGTAGTTAAACATACTAATAGTTAAAACGCGTTAGTTAAACTGACCATTTGTTAAAAATTACAAAATTGTGTTGTTTGATGAATAGTTAAGCTAACCATAGTTAAAAAATTTGACCATTTGTTATAAAAGTTAACTATGCGTTTTTGACTAGTTAACTTTGACAATTAGGTAACTGACATATAAGTACGAGGTTGTTTGTGGAAACGTGAGTGAAATAAAATGAATTTAAATATTGTGAGACATTTTGAAGACTCTGATAGCTCTTCTGACGATGATATTATTGTAGATTATATATTAAATCGCCGTCCTAAAACATTACGGGATAGAATATTACAGCTAGACTTTTGGGATGAAGTAAATTTCTTTGAACGATACAGAATGTCTAAAAGTACCGTTCTTTGGTTACTCAGTGAACTCAAGAATTCTTTGAAAAGGCCAACAGATCGGTAAGCAATACCTACCACCCTTGTTATTTATATGAATTTACTTTAATATGAATAAGTAGGTACTTATATGATTTTTTCCTTACAGAAACCATGCCGTGAGTCCGCTAGATCAAATTCTTTTGACGTTAAGATTTTACGCTACTGGGAATATTCAGCAGTGTTCTGGAGATCTGTTTGGATTGCATAAATCAACTATATGCAGAATTATTCACCACGTGTCAAAACTGATATGCTGTAAATTTAGATCAGTTATTAAAATGCCACAGAACACAGAAGAAATCAGATCTACAGTAGCAGAATTTTTCAATATAGCAAAATTTCCTAGTGTTATAGGAGCTATAGATTGTACTCATATACCAATGCTGAATCCAGGGGGCAACAATTCCGAACTGTATCGTAATAGAAAAGATTTCTTCTCAATGAATACTCAGGTAATTGCTGATGCTAAATTGAGAATTTTAGATATAGTAGCAAGATGGCCGGGTTCAGTGCACGACAGTACTATTTTCAACGCCAGTGAAGTAAAGAAGAAGTTTGACCGGGGAGTTTTTGGAAATTGTTGTTTAATAGGCGATCGTGGATATGCTCTAAAAAAATATTTAATGACACCACTATCCGACCCGCACTCACAACCTGAACGACTGTACAATGAGAGTCAGATAAGGACGAGAAATGTCGTGGAAAGAACCTTTGGTGTATGGAAAAGAAGGTTTCCTGCAATTGGTACTAAACTGCGAGTTAATATTAAAAATATACAACCAATTATTGTTGCAACAGCCATATTGCATAACATATGTATTGACAACAATGAAAACATCCCACGAGAGTCCACTATAATGAATAACCAGAATATAGTTGTGCCAATTGCAGAAATTGCAACACAAAGGCAATCAGACCAAGCATATCGGAACCATTTGATACAACAATATTTCCCTAGGTTATCAAATGAAGCCACTGTATAAAATGAATTTAAATATAATTTAACTTTACTGCATTTGTTCGTTTAATTAACACTAACACTTTATCTAAAACTAATCATTAACTTATCATTTTGTAAAATTATAACTAACTCATATGGATTCCCGCTGTTCAAAATACATGATGTATGTAATAAATGGTGCATTCAATGACCAAATAAAAAAATTGGGATATTTAATTAATAATTGAAAATACATTATTGAATTATTATTATTTATTTTCTGCTTTTAATTTTTTTAATTTTTCCTCCTCAATCTCTACTTCTATTGCAGCTTTTTTTAGAAGGAGATTATGCAATTTATTTTTAAATGCTATTTCTAATGCATGCATTTCTTCCTTATGCTGCATATTTTTGTTGTGCTCCTCCTCAGCAAACTCCAATATTTTTTCATCTCTCACTCCTTTCTTCTTTAAGTAGAGTTCTTTTTCGTGAGCTACTGTAATGATTTTTTTTCTTGTCTCGAGAGGAGTAAAATTCAATTTTCTTTTCCTATAAGATGATTCTGAAAAAATTAATAGAAATCAATCATAAGAGCTGATTGTGATTTCATTGAGAAAATATATGATAAGGTCATACATAATACAAACCTAATGGTTTAGAAAGAGGTTTTCGCAGCATTGTATGTGGTGTGCTCGTGTCAAATTTCACAGTCTCCCGAGTCTCTTCATTTTCTGAAATAGGTAAATACAAAATATGTATATTTCAAACTGCCTATGCAGATCAGATAATTAATGCTGTTACTTGAATGATCAAATATGAAAACTTCATTTTCAAATTACTGCAAAGTGGACAATATTTTATTGTTTTTTTTTTTAATTTTAGTGACTATGTACATTATATTTACAAATAATACATTTTACCATTGACATAAATTATTTTCTAACCTGGAACATCATGAATTGGCACAATATGAGCAACATCATGGATAACTCCGTCATTGTGTCCATCTGTATACGACACCATAGACATTTCCTCCTCAATATTTGAAAGAGCAACACTTGGTTGAGCTGCTTCACCATTCAACTGTGGAGTATTATTATCTGTAAACAAACATGTACTTATACACAACACTATTGATAACATGAAAATAACTAGATTCAAGAAAGAATAAATATAATAAAAAAGTACCAAAAATAAAATCTGAATCATGTGTGGATGGAAGACCCACTATTGATTCACCCATTATGCTGCACAGCCATTCACTGGTATCGGAAGGTTTGGGTGGTGGTGGCCCTCCACCAGTTCTTTTTTTTTCTTGTGATAATTCCTAAAATAACACAAATTTACCTTACACACCTTAATATACAAATCTTAGTATATGTGTAAAATTAAATAATTTGCACCATAGTATAGATAGACAACAGTTATGTTAGAGTGCAATGAAACAATAAGTACAAACTACTGAACTTAGTTTGTAAATAACATTGCATGCAGCATACCTTTCTGGCATTTTTTTTCATGTTGTTGAACTTATAAATTAATTGTTTTTTCGTTCGATAAATAAGATTATTAGAATTAAATTCATTCGTTAGTTGACACCACGCTTCATCTTTCTGCTTCGTACTGGCATGGTCTGTCTTTTTATTCATTATTATTGAATATTTTTCAAGTAACTCCTTCAATTTGTTGAGTTCTTCTCGGCTAAAGTTATTACTCCTCTCTCTGCAAATGAATTATATTGAATTTATTAATGGTTCATGTTTATTACACTACGAGTGAAACAAAATTAAATAACTAGGATTACATTAATTTATTAGGTAGCTTGTTAATATTGTTTACTTGGAATCTCTGTGTGGGACATAAATTTGTACTTACTTGCTCATTTTGATTTCTATTCTTTCACAAAAGATCGAAATTCAACAAAATTACCACGAGCGACGAAACAAAAACAATAACACAAGCGAAGCGACGCTGTCACGATACGTCAATTTCGAGATTTTTTACTTTTATGTCGTTGTGTTGCCAGTGCAATATTACTTTCCCAACATGTATTTTCCTTCTCCCCAGTTTATTAATGTGGCAGCACAAATGACTATTGTTATATTTAACCATAGTTAAAAATATCATCAAACAACATATTTCAATTTTAACCAATTGTTTAGGCGCTAACTATGGTCAAGTGACAATTAGTTAAATTGACTAACAGTCATGTTTAACTATTTATCAAACAACGGGCCCTAAGTAGTCTAAATAGTATAAATTTGTAACCGACTTCCAAAACACAAAAGAGGAGGTTCTCAATTCGTCTGTATTTTTTTTTTTATGTATGTTTGTTTGCGATTTCTCCGTCAATTGTGGACCGATTTTCATAATTGAAAGGCTATGCTCCCGAATTGGTCCCATTACCACCAATTCAGGATCTGATGATGGGATCAATTATTGGGAATTTGACAGCCCCGACAACGTGTTTTAGCTACGAGTATTTCTTTAGCCAAACAAACCATGGCAACCGTCAGAGACTGCGCGATGTGATGCGCAGAGAACTTGCAGTATTTATGTCACCACAGTAATTTTCGTTGTATTAAGAAGAAAAAGTTGAAATTTTCAATACTCAATACTCAATACTTTATTGCTTCCACAATGTAAATACATAGGTGATATCAATTTAAATATAGTAACAATTATGGACCCTGACGGGCGCAGCACAGTTTGTTTGGGAGAGAGGAAATAATATTTTATTTATTATTTATCATAATAGTTGTATAATTTATGAATTTTATTATTTTAGTATTCTATCTTCAAAATACTCTCTTATGCTGTAGTAGCTTTTACTTACAAGAAAGAGTTTTAATTTTTTTGTGAAACTGTTATATTTATTTTCTTGTTTTATGGTTTTAGGTAACTGATTGTATATTTTGATGGACATTACAAATGGGCTGTATGAGTGCATTTTGAGTCGGGAAGCTGGTAAATTAAGTCTATCTTTGTGTCTAAGCGTCATTTTGGTTTGTATGTCCTCTCTTTTACTGTAGAACTCTGGGTGTTGTCTAACGAATTTACAGGTTTCCAATATGTAGATACTGGGTAAGGTTAAAATTTTAAGTTCGACGAAGTGAGGTTGGCAACTGTCTGTGTCTTCTATGTTCACTAGGATTCTAACTAGTTTTTTCTGTAAAGTGAATAGTGTAGGTGCATCTGTACTATTGCCCCACAGGATTATTCCGTATGTGAACCACGCGTAGGCATATGAATAGTAGGTAGCAAGTGCTGTTTTAAGGTCTGTAGTTTTTTTTTATTTCTCGGAGGGCGTAAGTAAATTTTGAAATTTTGGCTTGTATTCTTCGAATGTGTGATTTCCAATCAATATGTCTGTCTACGTCAATGCCCAATAGGGTGAATTTATTTACTACTTCTAAGTTTATGTTGTTGAAGGTGTAATTTACGTTTATTGGTGTTTTCTGATGTGGGTGGAATGTAACTATTTTTGTTTTGTTGAAATTAATTTCTAGATT